TATAAATGTTTTTTTTTTATCCTTTCATCCTTTCTTTTTTTTTTAACTTTTATTTAATGAATATAAATTTCCAAAGTACGATTTCTGGATTACAATGACTTCCCCCCCATACCATCCCTCCCACCCACAACCCTCCCCTTTCCCACTCCCTCTCCCCTTCCATTCACATCAAGATTCATTTTCGATTATCTTAATATACAGAAGATCAGCTTAGTATACATTAAGTAAGGATTTCAACAGTTTGCTCCCACACAGAAACATAAAGTGAAAAATAGATGATTTTTTTAAATGATGATGAAATCAGATCAGACCTATTGTCATGTTTGATCCCAGTGAGAGTCAAGTTGGGAGTTGATAATTTTTTTTTACAGAGGATCAGTTTAGTATGCATTAAGTAAAGATTTCAACAGTTTGCACCCCCATAGAAACACAAAGTGAAATATATTGTTTGAGTACTCGTTATAGCATTAAATCTCAATGCACAGCACATTAAGGACAGAGATCCTACATGAGGAGTAAGTGCACAGTGACTCCTGTTGTTGACTTTACCAATTGACACTCCTGTCTATGGCATCAGTAGTCTCCCTATGCTCCAGTCATGAGTTTCCAAGGCTATGGAAGCCCTCTGAGTTCTCCGATTCTTATCTTGTTTAGACAAGGTCATAGTCAAAGTGGAGGTTCTCTCCTCCCTTCAGAGAAAGGTACCTCCTTCTTTGAAGACCTCTTTTTTCCACTGGGATCTCACTCACAGAGATCTTTTGCCAGAGTGTCTTGGCTTTCCATGCCTGAAATACTCTCATGGGCTTTTCAGCCAGATCCGAATGCCTTTAGGGCTGATTCTGAGGCCAGAGTGCTGTTTAGGACATCTGCCATTCTATGAGTCTGTTGAGTATCTCACTTCCCATGTTGGATCACTCTCCCCTTTATTCTATCGGTTAGTGTTAGCAGGTACTAGACTTGTTTATGTGCTCCCTTTGACTCTTAGTCCTTTCATTATGATCAATTGTGAACTGAAATTGATCACTTGGAATAGTGAGATGGCATTGGTACATGCCACCTTGATGGGATTGAATTGGAATCCCCTGGTATGTTTCCAACTCTACCATTTGGGGCAAGTCAGCTTGAGCATGTCCCAAATTATACATCTCTTCCCTCTCTTATTCCCACTCTTATGTTTAACAGGGATCACATTTCAGTTAATTTTCAACACTTAAGAATAACTGTGTATTAATTACAGAATTAAACCAGTCATATTAAGTAGAACAGACAAAAAAACTACTAAGAGGGATAATGTATTAAGTTGTTCATTAACAGTCAGGGCTATGCTGATCAAGTCACCGTTTCTCATAGTGTCCATTTCACTTCAACAGGTTTCCTTTTTGGTGTTCAGTCAGTTGTCACCGATCAGGGAGAACATATGGTATTTGTCCCTTTGGGACTGGCTTATTTCACTCAGCATGATGTGTTCCAGATTCCTCCATTTTGTTGCAAATGACTGGATTTCGTTGTTTCTTACTGCGGTATAGTATTCTAAAGAGTACATATCCCATAATTTCGTTATCCAGTCTACTGTTGATGGGCATTTAGGTTGGTTCCAGGTCTTAGCTATTGTGAATTGAGCTGCAATAAACATTAGGGTGCAGACCACTTTTTTGTTTGCCAATTTAAATTCCTTTGGGTAAATTCCATCCTGTTTCTTTTAAAGAGTTTAGCCCAATTACATTTGAGGTTATTATTGATAAGTAATGACTTGGTCCTGCCATTTTCCCATAAATATTTATTTTGTTTGTCCTGAATCTAGTTTTTCTTACTAGATTTTCTGCCTTTACATTCTTTCAGGATGTTGATCTTTGTTTCTTTATAGTACATCCTTAAGTATCATTTATAAGGCTGGACAGGTTGTGACATCTTTTCAATTTTTGGTTATTTTGGAAGGTCTTTACCTTCATTTATAAATGAGAGCTTTGCACAGTAAAATATTCTGGGTTGGCAGTTTTTCTTTTAAAACTTGGACTGTATCTCTCCATTCTCTCCTGGTCTACAGGGTTTCTGTTCAGAAATCTGTCAGTCTAATTGGAGATCTTTCAAAGGTAATCTGGCATTTCTCGTGTACATTTTAGGAAATTTTCTTTTTACTTTAAGAAGTTGTGTCATGGTGAAGATCTTTTATGAGCCAAGCCTATTTGAGGTTCCTTGTGCTTCCTGTATTTGGGTGTCCATACCTTTCTCCAATTTGGCAAAATTTTCTGCTATAATTTCACTGATTAAGTGTCCAAGCCATTCTTTTTTTCAGTACCTTCAGGAATTCCTCAGACAAATATTTGGGATCTATGGGATACCATCAAATCACCAAACATGGCTTTCTAATTTCTTCTTTCTCTCCGCTCTCTTTTCATCTGAGATATTTCAAAGACTTGTCTTCTGCCTCACCAAGTTTGTTGAAGGCTTTCCACTGTATTTGACATATTGAACTATTCACTTCTAATATTTCAGTTCAATTTTTCTTCAGTATCTTTGCAGACTTTCTCATCCATGTTATATAGGATTCCTTTATTTCATGTAACTGTTTATCTGTTTTTGGGTAATCTTACAGTCATTCTTCAGAATTCCTTTTCAGGCATGTTGTCAAGCTCCCATCTTCATGGTCCAATATCAACACATTATTGTGTTTCTTTTGGGGAATCATACTGCCTTCCTTGTTCATGTTTCCTGCATTGATCTCTACATTTATTTCTGTGCATTTGGAGAATCACTTGTTGATAACACCTCTGAAGAATGTGTTCATGGAATTGTCTCTGTGGCTTGGGGGAATCCTTGCAGCTTATACCAGAGATCCAGAGGTGTATGCTGGGTGGGGCCAGGGGGCTCTGGCCCACCTTTTGGGGGTGAGTCAAGAGTCCAGAGTGACACCCAAGTTAGGTGTGGTAGATTTCCTCAACTACAGTCAGTGGGACTGGGGGAATGTTGATGCTGGTTGGCGTCTTTATAGCCTGTGCCTTTCTTTGTGCCAAGATGACTCAGCTGATTTTACTGCCTAGAATGAGCTCACAGTGCTTGCACACCCTACCAACTCAGGCATGTGAACCATACAGAGTACCGATTCTCTCTGTAGTGACTCTCTGTAGTGTGACTGTGGAACCCTCTGAAAGTTTTGTCTCCAGCACTCAGGGAGCTCTGAGCTTCTGGACTTGGACAGGGTGAGTGCCCAGAAACCCAGGCACAACTTTCTCTGTTCTGTGGCCTATGAGGAACCCCCATAGTCACAGGGTACAGGGGATCCCCTCTCTGCCCTGTGAGCTGCCCCATTCTCAGAGCGAGCCACCCACTGTTCCCAACAGAAGTCTTACTCCTCTTCAACACAGTGTGGTCCTTTGGTGAGGGGAGAGTAGGGAAGCAATAGGGCCTACGGACTTCCTTCATGGAAATAAGTGAATGCTCTGCCTCCCACCAGCTCCCCAGCCTGGATTCAATGTCAGTGGAGACCGTGGGGTTCTCACTCAGTGAAAACTGCCAGGGCAGTGGGCTGCAGTAGCCTGTCACCTTGATCTGGGAAGATGGCATTTCTCTACCAGTGGCTGTAGTTGCTGGTGGCATGCTGCCAGCTGCTGTATGTCCACTCTCCTCATTGTTCCACAGTCTCTGTTCTGTCCATTCTCTACTGGCTAAAATCAGTTTGTCTTTCCACTATTCAGCCAGCTTGGCTCTCCTGGCTTTTTTCTTAAAGATTTGTTTTTATTTGAAAGGCAGAGGGACAGAGATAGGCAGACGTTCACTCACACTCACACCCACACCCACACCCAGAATCTTCCACCTACTGGTTCACTCCCCAAGTGGTTGTAGTATCCAGGGCATGGCCAAGCTGAATCCAGGAACCAGGAACTCCATCCAGGTATCTAATGTGGGTGGCAAGGGCCTGAGCAAGTAAGCCATTTTCTGCTGCTATGCAGGCATATTAGCAGGGAACTGGATTGAAAGCAGAGCAGCCTGTACTTGAATATGCACTCTGAGATGTCAGTGTTGCAAGCAGTTTGATCTGCTGTGTCACAAGGCTTGCCTCTAACTTTTCAGTTTTCTATCATGGGAAATAATGGAAAGAATCAAAAAAGCAAAGGGAAGAATTAGGGGAAACAGGTCAAGGGTGATTAATCATAGCAGGCAAACATAGAAAGGCCCCGGAAAGACAGATTGTGTTAAAGAAAGGTATTTAGAAGGACATGAATGAAAAAGACGGGGGAGAAAGCAGTCCAGAGGTGAGTACAGGGAAACATCTGTAGGAATCAGATCCAAAGCAAGGCGGAACACAGTCACACACTGTCAAGAAGTCCTACACCTGTCTTGTAACTTTTGTTGAGAGAAGCCGTTAAAGATGATCAGAAGTAGTGGTTTTTGCAACTACTGACAAGCATACAGCCTTGCCATCTTTGTACATGTTCTCACAGGCTGAGTGAAATTCAATCAATGGTTGACTCCAGCCAAAAGCTAGAAGTTGTCCACTCCTATGAATGACAATTAAAAATATTACATCTTCTACTGCAACTCAAAAAAGAGTGCTAGAACTAATAGCTATCACATCACCTGTAATTTCTTGAACTTTCACATTTAGGAAAACCAGGAACCACTCTCCCCTCTGTACTGAATAAACCAGTGTCAAAACTATTTGAAATTAACAATGTCTATTTTATTTATTAAATATAAAAACTTTACATTTTAAGTGTAATAAAGTATGAATTCTCTTATAATCGGAACTTTTAAAAGGTGTCACTGCTGGGGTTATGAAAAGAAGATGCTAATATACTCATTTCTTCAAATATTTCTACATTTTCATATCATACTAGAAAACTTACCTTTTACTTTAGCCTATTATAACCAAGAAATAAAAGTTCTGTGGTATTTCTCTTGTTTATAAAATAATCACATTCAAATTTTTCTGGAGAGTAGCAAAGCTTTCAATTCCTTTCCTTTGAAGAAATAATATTGAGAAATCACTTATATTGCTCTGATTATGTTGGACAATGAGATGCTTTATTAAACTTGATACACTTATTATAAGAATTCTATGAAAAAAGGGGGTAGCAAATTATTTTGGATGTGTATCTCTGCATTGAAAAGTCCATCCTGATACTATGTGATCTCGCTATATCCTTTGACTGTAAGCATACAGTGACCAAAGGCAGCAGCACCCCTTCCTGGCAAGACAAAGACAAGTGTGACCTCTCCTCTGTTTTAGCCATGGCATTACAGGTCCTTTTCACAAAGCAGAAATCTTGATCTGTTCTTCCACCCAGTGCCATCTCCAGGAAGGCGAGCTATAAGAAGCACCTGGGCCATCCCTACGGCAGGGCTGGGCATGCGGTCCACACAGGATCAGCCTTGGGAAGGTTCTTGTCTGCTCAACCAGACAACTCTACTTGGGCTATTCCAAGACGCCTTGGAGGGGTGGAACTTCTGAAACAGAGACAGACAGCAAACTTCTGAATGATGACCAGACTACACAAACGATCAAATCCAGCTGTGCCAATGTTATGGGGAAGGGAAGTAGAAGCTCTCTGGTGTGGCTAAAGCTGACTGGGTGGACTCAGTTGCTCACGTGCCCCTGGTGAAGACCACCCGTCCTCTTACCAGGCATGGGCGGCTCTGCAATGAGGTGTCTGTGGTTTGTAAACAGTTCTGCGGAGTCTTGTTCTAATGCTCTTTCCTCGAGCTCTGACTCTGGGATCGGAGTACAGCCACCTAGTTGAAAAATACAAACAATATTTGAAGCAACGAGTAAGAAGAGCTGCCTCTCTGCACAGCAGCCACAGCTTTGGAATGTACCAGTCATAAAGATAATAAATGACGTGACAACAATCTTCAGGAGTAGACTAAAAAGAACCATCTCAAACGTTTCTCTTTGGTGAAAATACAGGGATGAGTTATTGCCCCCAAAGACATGTTATACTGATTATGACTTGGCTACAGCAGCAAGACCGTTGCCTTTAAATTTATCCTTTTTAAAGTCAGAAAGGACAAAACCTATAGCATATGCGATATCCATAATGTAATAGCCCCTCAGCAGGAATTCCCTTTAATACCAAAGCATCGGAAACTATCCAAGAAACGAAGCACATGGCCCACAGGGGAGAGGACCCCTCCTCGAGCGGACAGGAGAGCTTCTGGGATTCGAAGATGGTGATGTGGTGGTATTTCTCTAGGATTAGATTCGGTCCCTGAATGCTAACCTTACAGGACGAGCCACCACTTCATAATTCAGCTGTAAAGCCATGGACTACACGGTGGACGATCTCAAGTCGAAGGTGAATGGAGGATGAGCTGGCACTACTGGGCTTTTGAATACTGGGTCTAAGTCATTCGACTTCATCTACCAAAATCTTATAGGGGGAACTCTACACCACGTGAGAATTTCCTAACGACATCTGCAACTTGCTTTGAATAATTTGCCATCATTTCCTGGAAACGCACTGACATGTTTGTGTACCGTGTGCATAGGGTTCTTTTCCTCCCAAAGCTATTCTTCTTGTTAATGAAGTGTGATTTCTTTTTCTGAGGCTTGTCACACGTTGAGTCTAAAGCCTCAAGCTCGGCTTTCTGTGTGAGGGGTTTATGAAGCTCGCATCATTCTGCGGCAAGGGAGGTGTCGCCAGCACTGATTTGAAAACCACATCATTCAAACGGGAGGGAAGGGGCCAGATCACAGATCTGAGGAATACACCTTACCATCCGTCCCTCCTCTTGCCTCTGCAAAAGCACGGATGCTGAGGGAAACTCGAGTGCAAAGCATTTCCACTCTCATAGAATACGAATCAGGGGGAGCCTCTGAGTTTTCCTGAACTGGAAACAGTAGGATTATCCCACGGTGGGATGGCACTTACCCAGCTCAATCTAAAGATGTCCAGGGCCCAATGCGGAGAGACCCAGGCTCATTTTCATCTTTCTAAAGTTTGTGCATCCTGGCAATAAGAACCACTACTACTGAGCTCTAGTATGTGCCGGAAACCCCGCTCCTATCTTCTAATTTTTACATCCGACGCCGTGAACTAGATTAGCGTTCTTTTCATTTTTTAAGAAGGCTGAGCTGCAGGTCATATAGCGCTGTGGGGCCAGGACCCCGGAGAAGCCCAGCCACTGGCCCCATCCTTCTCTAAGAGAAGAGAAGGGGGTGGGAATCACAGGGAGAACCTGTAAGCCTGATGGCAGGGCCAACAGCATGAAGCTTCTCAAAGAACTCATCATTTTGATCCTCGCCTCAGGCCTGGCTTTCTTGCAGAAATCATGGGTGTTGGAAGTAGTTCTAAACGTAGGCCTTCACCGTGGAACTGTGCATTGGTAAGAGGCTTCATGGCTAGAAGTCAATGGGCTGACGTTACCCCTGCTATGCGATTTAGAAAAGAAGCTCGTGAAAACGCGGGGGCGGGAGTTGTGGCTCACGGGAGAAGCCAGCATGGCGCCATGCTGCTTTGGGTGCCAGCGGCTTGGCTTCCCATGCATCTGCCTGCTAGTGGGCCCGGGAAGGCAGCGGAAGATGCCTCGGGTGACTGAGTGCCTGCCACCTGTACCAGACACCAGGATGGAGTTCCTAGCTCGTGGCTTCAGCCTGGCACACACTGGGCTGTTATAGCCATTTAGGGAGTGAAACCAGCTGATGGAGGTTCTCTGCTGCTGCTCTGCCTTTCAAATCAATCGATTTTTGAAAAAAATTATGCATGGATTTCAAACATTTTTGCACTAACCAAAAGAACCTGCTTTTAATTCTGTTTTTCCATGAACTTTCTGAATTACTCTCACAGGAGCCTCGGGGCGGGGGAGGGGGGCTAGGTAGGCAATAATAACTGAGCTGGGAACGTCCTGCCTTCTAGCTATTAAAGAAAATACACATTTTGACATTTCTTCTATCCGAAACTTGACTTTGCAGACTGTCAGGTCTCAATTTATTAAATGAAACCAAGAGATTATGTCATTTTTCCAAAGGTCACAACAAGTCTAAATACCCCTGTAGCCCAGCTCTGTTACAGCAATGCTTCTCAAAAGGTCCTACTTCCCAGATTTCTAACCCAATACTTTCTTTATTTTTTATTTTTATTTTATTTAATGAACATAAATTTCCAAAGTACAGCTTATGGATTACAATAGCTCTCCCCCCCAACACTCCCCTCTCTCACTCCCTCTCACATCAAGATTAATTTTCAATTATCTTAATATATGCTAAATTGATCTTCTGTATATAAAGTAAAGATTTCAACAGTTTGCACCCACACAGAAACACAAAGTGTAAAATACTATTTGAGTACTAGTTATAGCATTAAACACCTAAGAGTAATTGTGTATTAATTACAGAGTTCAACCAATAGTTTTAAGTAGAACATAAATACTAAAAGGGTAAAGTATTAAGTTCCTTTTTTTTTGTTTGTTATATAGTTTTTTTTATTTAATAAATGAATTTACAAAGTGCAACTTTTGTATTGTGGCTCCCCCCCCCACCTCCCTCCCTCCCTCCCGTGGCCCTCCCCCTCCCACCCTTCATCGAGTTTCATTTTAAATCACCTTCATATACTGAAGATCAACTTAGTATATACTAAGCAAGGATTTCAACAGACTGTACTCACACAACCGCACAAGGTATAGGGTATTGTTCGACTAGTAGTGTTATCTTTAACTCTCATAGAACACATTAAGGACAGATCCTACATGGGGAGCATGTGCCCAGTGACTCCTGTTGTTGATTTAACAATTGGCACTCTTATTTATGATGTCAGCAATCTCCCAAGACTCTTGCTATGAGCTGTCTAGGCTATGGAAGCCCCTTGAGTTCACCAACTCTGAACTTGTTTAGTCAAGGCCGTATCACAGTGGAGGTTCCTTCCTCCCTTCAGAGAAAGGCACCTCTCTCCTTGATGGCCTGTTCCTTCTGCTGGGGTCTTGTTCACCAGGATCTTTCATTTAGATTGTTTTTTTTTTTTTTTTTCCACCGTGTCATGGTTTTCCATGCCTGTGAGACTCTCATGGACCTTTTAGCCAGAGCCAGATGTCCCAAGGGTCTAACCCAATACTTTCATAAGATACACAAGGAATTACAAACAAAAATGGGAATAAGACACCAGCTGTCATCTTTAGTGTTGGATTCAATAGTTATAAAAAGACTCCATCAATTGCTGCAAGATTACTTAACACTTATACCCTCAACTTCAGGTACTAATTTTGCAGTTAGAAGCCAGTCTTTGGGCCATACTTAGAATAGCACCAACTCTGGGATGTGGCATGCTTTAATTAATATAGTACTTAGAAGGTTCAAAAACACTCTGGGACCCTTAACTTTCTAAGGTTCAACTGGCACCAACGAGAGCTTCTCACAACCTCTCTGTGCCCCTTCTTTTCAACCATCTAGCTGGTAACACCCCCTCTAGCTGCCAACGTGTTGAGCACAGGTCTCTCCCCTCCCTTCAGCTGTAGATTCACACTTCACTTTTGTGGGCTGAGCAGATGGAGTTTCATAAAGTCAATCGGGCATCCCAAGTCAAAACTCCACGTGCAGTTCCATGAGGGAATAATGTTATAAGTGGTGGTTTACTGCAGGACCCTATCACTACTATGACTGCTCAAAAAATTTCTGGGGTTATTCTGGAAATCTACTCCTGTATGTGAAATTTGAAAACATGAAGATTATGAGTTACAAACAATCGGCATAAAAGCATTTTAGAACAAGGCTGCTTATAAATTGGAGATTATACCAATGATATTAAAAGGATGTCTCAGCCCTCCTTCTGTGTTAACTATGAATATAAATAATTATATGTATATTATATATAAATGACCACTTATGGTAACTAAATCTTGCTATAAAAATGTGTTTCTTTGCAAACTGATAACACATTAACACATACAGCAGATTCATCTAGCTAGAACATTACTTAAGTAGTTACCTAAAATCCTGAACAAATAGGAGTTCCTCTTACATTAAGATAACACAAAGCTGGCAATTTTTAGGAATTCCAAGTTATCCTCAAACTTGTATCTATATTCAAAACCAAATTATAAAATGGTTGAACTTCTCCTTAGCAACTAGTGCATACTTTGACAAGAGAACTACACTAAGGAATTTGTCTGCTGTCCGGAAAAACACAACAACAAAGCTATTGTGCTTGTATGACTACTGTCTCTCAAGTAAATAAATTTAAGACAAGTAAAGAAGGCCACGTAGGTAATAAATACTGAGCCATGGTTTGTATTACAGAGTTCACTGTAAGAGGTATAGAGTTCAAAAGGTGGAGATGGGGATGAAGATGTGGTTGGCATCTAGAACACTGGAGATCAAACCCAGCATGCACGGTGAGCAACAGCGTGCTGGGGACTGCAGTTGCCTTTCCTGGACAAGAAATGGGAAGCCTTAAGCTATAGTGTTTGCCCACTGTGATGGTACAATATGCCCACCGTGGACAACGTCAGGTAGCAAACATGATACCCTAAAATGTGAAGCTTGACAGAGCTATGCAATAGCACACTATTATACCATGTAAAAACCAATAACCTCAAGAATACAGGTAACAGTAAAACAGTGAAATGAGGAAGAAAGAGGTCCGAGTACACATGAAATTAAAAGATTAAGTTTGTTTTGCTGCAAAATGTTTTGTAATCCAGGCACAGTTTTTCTATAATATGTACTTTTCATGAACTTTAAGATCCCTTTTATTATAACCAGATAAATATTTAGAAAAAGTTTACATGGTCTACCTTTTGAT